CAAGGTCGCAAAAACAATTTTTTCATAAGACAAGTTTGATGTAAAATTTTCCGCTCTTTCGAAATCCGCAGTCAAAAATAGGGTGTCCCATTAGAAAAAACCATCGTGACCTTGAAGTAACCTTCAAAATTGACCTCAAGGTCAAAACCAATGGTACAATTGAATGACCCCCTCTGTCCTGGTCAACTTTTATCTAAACCATTTTTTTGTAGATACCGTAATTTGGAAGATATTCGGATCCATAGACTAAAATGACTCATCCTGTATATTGAGTTGTACTGAATACATGGTGAATTGTATTTTTCCAAACATTTCATTCTGTACAGTTAGTGAAATATTAAGAGTAAGGGAAATTTAATTTAATTATCATTGAATATTACTGTACTGTATTGTGAAACTTGTGAAATATGTCATTACATTTTTTGAACGAAATAAGAATATATTGTAAATATAATCCACCAAGATATCGTTACAGCGCATTGGCATCACTAGTCCCCGTACGATCGTTGAAGTCAAGCAGTGAACAGCATGGTCATCTAAAGATGGGTGGCTGTCTGACACGGAATCGAAACCACGCGAGTCTTACGAATAAGTGAGATACAAAATATTTAGTTAGTTTTTTTAAAATTATTTAGCTAGTTTTTTTATTATTTAGACAAATTAATCCTACATTATCAATTATCTCAACCATACTAATGAATAAATCGTTGAAATGTAACAAAAAATAGAGATTTAATTAAAGAACCTACGAAACGACAGAATTGTCGTACAATCTGTCGCCAATTTGCCGTCAGAAGGCCTGTTCTTTGTAGCTGCACTGCTGAACTAGTGTAATAAGTTAGAGTGAGAAAACGTATATTTATCTCACTTCAATATATTGCACCAGAGTCTGTCGGCAGGCTCTGCGCGCAATCTGCTGCCAAAGTCTGTTAGCAGACCCTGTCAGCAGTCTGACGGCAGGTTGGGGATGCAGATGTCTATGGATCTGTTGACAGATCTGTTGACAGAATTCGACAGATTCTGTCACCAATCTGATGTCAGTCTGCGCACAGATTGCTTATTAGGTACATTGTAAAAACTATAATTATGTAGTACACAGCAGATGGGTCTGACAGACCCACGAAGAATTTTGCATTCATACCATTTCACTGCTAGATGAACACTGAAGTTGGCGATCGATAGTGGAAACATCTAACTTTTTCCTCCTTTAACCTAAGTCTCTTTTCTTATCCCCTCTTCATATAGCAAGCGCGTGAAATTTCGTATAGGTCTCCCAGACCCATGTGCTGTATTCTACGATTAATAGTTTTTCTTTAGTATAAAATAATGAAGATTAGTGTAATCAGTGCATTATTTCTAGGCTTCCTTCGTATATCTTTTCGAGAGTCAGAATCCAGAGACCGAACGTTAATTGTTGGTTGCAACATTACATATAGCTATAGTCATAGTGTTACTTGTATCAAAATGAGTCGTATTACTACTCGTGTATTATTTGCGTATATATTTAACGCATTGTAGCTGACTATTTCATGTGATTTTATGTAACCAACGATATTTATCTCGTGTAAAGGCTTGGACAATAATTGCTGGTATTGAATATAATATACAAATTGTGTGTGTGTGTGTGTGTGTGTGTGTGTATGTGTGTGTGTATGTGTACGTCTGTACACATGTGGAAGTACGTACATATTGCTTTGATATGCATACAAATCAACAGCACACAACATTTCAACTTATAAGAGGTCGTTCTTTTTTGTCTGGAGCTAAATAAATAAATTTTATATCAGTCGGTAAAAAATGTTTCAATAAGTACTGCGAATGAAAATTATGTCTGTGAATTCATTAAGAGTCTAGAAATTTAAAATTTTATACATTGCTCCAATCAATGTCTTGGTCATTTCAAAGTTTTCATGGAACTATAGCATCATTCTAGAAATATCAAAATAATAATGATAATTAAAATTTCGGTCTGAGTCATTTGTTACAGCAGTAGAGTACTACTTTGACTTTGAAAACTTTTTTACTTGTCACTTCGCAGTTTACACTCGAATTTCGGAATTCCAATGTACACCCTGCGATCAACATCAGTGCCAGACATTGTCTTCTAGACGAATTGTACGTAAATTATCAATAATTTTAATTATTACTTTGATACTTCTATAATGACGTCTTAGTCCCGTAAAAACTTCAAAGCGATCAAGATACTTAATATATGAGGCAATGGGCAAAATTCAAAATTTCTGGAAT